GGTCACTCGAAATAAACTTACAAGGAAAATACTTTGGGAACTCAAAGCCCAGATTTTTTGTATATAAAAACCTTTTTTTTTAAAAAGGAATAGGGAACAATTTCCTATTCCTTTTTCAAATATAAATGAGGAACAACAGAATTAACTAGTATTTAAAAATATTTGTAGGTGATCAGCAAACTAGAACCACACTGAAAACACTGAAAAGGGGAATAGAAGATACAGCAACTGCATTAAGTTATTTCTTATATAAATCTGCATTAAAATAATAAAAATCTAATAATTACGTTCATCTACCAGTTAAGCATTTCTTATTCGACTTAAGTGTTTTATGTAGATGCTTCATGCAATGATTTTGATGATTGATCCTTGCAATTCTTATATGCAGATATATCAGAAATAATTACAACTGCTGTTTTTCTTTGTGGATTTTCTTCTGTTCCTTATTCGAAATTGAATAAGTAATAAGATCTGGATCCTTATTCCTTGTTTGACTTGAACATTTCTTCAAAATGATTAGATGCGTGTGTTTTATGCAATGATTTTGATGATTAATTTTTGCAGTTCTAATATAGATTTATAAAAACAAAAAAAAAACAAAAAAAAAAAACGTTAATGCAGTTGCTGTATCTTCCGTTTCTTTTTCAGTGTTTTAGTGTGGTTGTAGATTATAACATATACTGAAGTTTGAAGTTGATCCCTAAAGAAATATAGAAGTAAAGAGTAAAAATGAATATCTTTTAAGAAATATTGTATGTTCAAGACAGATAAATCTGAAAAAATTCCTTTCAGAGTTGTGAACCTTGTCACATAAGATGTGGTTAATGATAAGGAACGTATATTTGAAGTTTGAAGCAGACGTCAAATTGGAATGATAAGAAAAAAAACAATAATTTTTACTGACTTTGCTTTATCAAAATGTATTTATATCAAACAAAATTACAATAATCCAGTAATTCATGATTGTTTTAAATTTCAAAGTACTGTTACAATAATCCAGTAATTCATGATTGTTTTAAATTTCAAAGTACTGAAACTTCATGAAAACAGAGCAAGAGGGCCATGATGGCCCTGAGGTCGCTCACCTGTATATAGGCTTCCGGAGCGGGCCAGTTTAAACCCCAGGGCTTTTATTTGAACAAACTTGGAAGACACTCATTAGAAGATGTTTCACAATGTTAAGTTTTTACTACACACATGTAATGAAAAACAATGATCTCACCCCCCCCCCCCCACCGGCAGGGCAAATTTTCACCCGAGGGATTTTATTTGAACAAACTTGGTAGACATCCATAAGAAGATATTTCATGCTAAACATCTAAGCTCTAGCTCATTGGGTTTTTAAAAGAAGATTTTTAAGTTTTTACTACACACATATAGTTAAAAACAATGACACCCCTGGGGCGGGGCCGGTTTTGACCCCAGGGCTTTATTTGAACAAACTTTGTAGACACTTACTAGAAGATGTTTCATGCTTAATATCTAAACTCTAGCTATTTGGGTTTCTTCAAAGAAGATTTTTTAAGTTTTTACTATATGCATATAGGCAAAATCAATGACCCCCGGGGCGGGGCCAGTTTTGACCCCAGGGCTTTCATTTGAACAAACTTTGTAGACACTCACTAGAAGATGTTTCATGCTTAATATCTAAACTCTAGCTATTTGTTTTTTTTTTTCAAAGAAGATTATTTAAGTTTTTGCTATACACATATAAGGAAAATCAATGACCCCCCGGGGCGGGGCCAATTTAAACCCCCAGGGCTTTTATTTGAACAAACTTGGTAGACACCTATTAGAAGATGTTTCATGCTGAATATCTTAGCTCTAGCTCTTTGGGTTCTTTAAAAGAAGATTTTTTAAGTTTCTACTATATGCATATAGGGAAAATCAATGACCCCCTGGGGCGGGGCCAATTTTGACCCAAGGGATTTTATTTGAACAACTTTGGTAGACACTCACTAGAAGATGTTTCATGCCAAATATCTAAGCTCTAGCTCTTAGGATTTTTTAAAAGAAGATATTTAAAGTTTTTTCTTTCGGTTGCCATGGCAACCAGAGTTCTGCATGGAATTAAATTCTTTGAACAATTTTTAAAGGTGACCACCAAGGGAACATTCCTGTGAAGTTTGGATGAAATTGGCTTAGTGGTTTATGAGGAGATGTCATTTAAAGTAAAAGTTTACGGACGGACGACGGACGGACAACAGACGACGCCGGACGAAAAGCGATCACAAAAGCTCACCCTGTCACTTTGTGACAGGTGAGCTAAAAAGTAACTTCCAAACATTTATATTTTGTTGTAAATATCTTGTAGTCAAAAATTACATTTCACAAATGTTACTCAAACTATATCTTGCATATGTATAAAAAATTTATACATTAACAGTTTAAAAATATTTTAAATTTCTGTAAACAACATTTTTAGCAGGTTGTTGTTAAAAGAAATGTCCCATGTAAGGCACATCACGTCCTTTGGGTTGGGATATAATTGTCAGACATAACCTCTCTTACAGTCAGTTCAAGCATAAGTCTTTCCTTTCTTTCTTAATATATACTATTGCTCCAAAGTCTTCTTCTGTCAAGCATAGTCCAGCATTTTCTATAAAATTCTTTTCGTATTAAGTTATTTCCTGGCCTTGATGAGTGACCATCTCCCAGCCAGGACTGCGAACTTGCAGTCACACAGGGGAAATTAAGACAGTGGTGACAAACATCTGTATTAGTTTTCACAGATGGTCCATTTGGTTTATTTATCTGATGATAAGTTTGCATTCTCTTCAGAAATTCCTTTTTCGCATCTGAGTTTACTGACTAAGTGGATACTTGTGTTCTGCTCAAATTTTGTTACTGGGTACTTGTTGCTTCAGTATCGTCATCACTTGATATTTCAATATCCCACCCATGAAAATTGAATATTCCACAAGTAATTTCTTTCTGTTCTTCTGTCATATAAATCACATATCTCTTTTTCTTATTATCCTGTGCCATTTTTTAGAATTCAAACTTGTATGAAATATATAAAATCAGATTAAAACAGCTTAAAGATTTGCACTATTTCCCTCCAAAACAAGCAGGAATTGGTACATCCTATGTGAGTTTTAACTTGACATGACAGGCCATACAATGAACAATTTTACTTCAATAAGGTGTTGGCAGATTGAAATGTTTCCCTGCAGAGTCTACAAATAAAACACTGTGAGACTGATATCATTTTCATTTGTGTGAATTCATTAGTAGTCAGGTATATAATGTAGTGATAAACATGGATGATAACCATTATAAATCAACAAGATCATAATAATGGAATAAAATGAAAGAAAATAAAATAAATGGCTAGATAAAGTCTTTTATTAATCTGTGAGGTATATAAAACATTCATTAAACCACCCCTGTGTATAATCAGCTGGTTTTTTTTGTTTACATTCTCTCTGCAAGTAAAACTGCATGCTATTTTTAGCTCAAGTGTTATAACATACAGTTTTATTTTGGTGTACGACAAAAGCCCTCCCGTCCAAAAAAGACAAGGCGGAAAAAAGCCCTCCCGTGAAAATGACACGGCGGACAAAAGCCCTCCGTAAAGTTGACTGGGCGGACAAAAGCCCTCCGTAAAATTGACTGGGCGGACAAAAGCCCTCCGTAAAATTGGCCGGGGAGGACAAAAGCTTTTATTTGAACAAACCTGGTAGACACCCATTAGAAGATGTTTCATGTTAAATATCTGAGCTCTAGCTCCTTCAGTTTTTGACATGAGGATTTTTTAAGTGTTTTATATATACATATAAGGAAATCAATGACCCTCTTGGGCAGTCCAATTTTGACCCCGGGGCTTTCATTTGAACAAACTTGGTAGACACTAATTATAACATTTTTCATGCTAAAATTAATATCTAAGCTCTTGCTCTTGGGCAAGATTTTTCAAGTTTTTTCCTTCTGTTGCCATGGCAAACTGAGTTCTGCATGGAAATTTTCAAAAGTGGCCACCCAAGGAACATTCCTGTAAAGTTTGGATGGAATTAGCTTAGCGGTTTATGAGGAGATGTTGTTTAAGGTACAAGTAGATAAACAAACGTTGGCCTGATTGCGATCACAAAAGCTCACAATGTTGACAGTAGGGCTAAAACACTTTGTAGATTTAAAATTTGAACTGTTTAAAAGACAAACTTTCCTCCAATAAAAACATCTGATTGTAGCAGTTGCTTCTTACATGTAGCTTCTTGTATAACACTGCAGGGTTATACTTGCTAAAAATTTTAGAACCATAGCTGTAAATGATTCATTACATTTTGTGTTAAACTCTTTGCACTCCATCCATATAATCTAAATGTTTTTTTTTCTCTAAAACTAACCATTCTTTTTTTAATATGCAATAAAGTTACAGACCTTATTCATTACTGAACACAAAATAACAATATTTTTTTTAAAGATTTGATATGCAGAATTTAAGTGTCAACATCAGAAAAGTTGAGTACACTTTCAGAATAGGCATTAAGCATTGGCACAATTGCTACGGTTTTTCTGAGAGATACTTCATGTCTGTAAGACTCGATGCTTTCTTCAGCTAGTTCAACAAATCCAGACTTGTGTTCTTTCATTTGTTCTGTTAGCCCTGTTCCTAGATACTTGTAGTTCAAAACTAACCACAAAGCAATTATCACTTTTATCCTCAATTTTCTACCACTAAACATAAACAAAGGAGAGCTTTGCATTAAAACGTCACTTTCACTATCATAGAAATAGAACACAATTTCATCTTTTGACACTCCTATACTAGGAATTACAAAGTTTTGCAGTGACTTGTGTCTTTTCCACTGTAAAAAGGAATGCACAATTGTTTTTGCAATTATCTGATCTTTGGCTTCAACATCTATTTCATAGCGAGGGATGTAATTATTTATTTCTGTGAAAACATTCCTATCAGAAATGGTGTGTTCAGTATTAACACTGACTCCTAGATCACTGTTACCCATCAGTATGTCAAGTCTACCATACCATCCATTACCAATACCTGAAATATTATAAACTCAACCAATTAACATTCTTATATAACATAATCAGCTGATATTGGAACAAACAAGTAGACAATAGCCCACTAGAACATAGCCCACTGGGACATAGCCCACTAGAACATAGCCCACTAGAACATAGCCCACTGGGACAATAGCCCACTAAGACATAGCCAACTGGGATAACAACCCATTGTGACATAGTTCAGTAGGACATAGCCCACTAGGACATAACCCACTAGGACATAGCACGCTGGATAATGGCCACTAGGACATAGCCATTAGGACAATAGCGCACTGGGACATAGCCCACAGGGACAATAGCCCACTGGGACAGAGACCACAGGGACAATAGCTCACTAGGACATAGACCACAGGGACAATAGCCCACTGGGACATAGCCCACTGGGAAAATAGCTCACTAGGACATAGCCCACAGGGACAATAGCCCACTTGGACAAAGCTCACTAGGACATAGACCACAGGGACAAAAGCCCACTGGGACATAGCCCACTGGGAAAATAGCTCACTAGGACATAGCCCACAGGGACAATAGCCCACTGGACATAGCCCACTGGGGACATAGACCACATGGACAATAGCCCACTGGGACATAGCCCACAGGGACAATAGCTCACAAGGACATAGCCCACAGGGACAATAGCCCACTTGGACATAGCCAACTAGGACAATAGCCCACTTGGACATAGCCCACTGGGACATGGCCCACTGGGACAATAGCCCACTGGGACATAGCCCACAGGGACAATAGCTCACTAAGAAATAGCCCACAGGGACAAAAGCCCACTTGGACATAGCCCACAGGGACAATAGCTGATTAGGACATAGCCCACTGGGACAATAGCCCACTGGGACATAGCCCTCTGGGACAATAGCCAACTGGGACAATAGTTCACTAGGACATAGCCCACAGGGACAAAAGCCCACTTGGACATAGCCCACAGGGACAATAGCCCACTGGGACAATAGCCCACTGGGACAATAGCTCACTAGGACATAGCCCACAGGGACAAAAAGCCCACTTGGACATAGCCCACAGGACAATAGCCCACTAGGACACAGCCCACTGGGACAATAGCCCACTTGGACATAGCCGAATGGGACAATAGCCCACTGGGACAATAGCCCACTGGGACAATAGCCAACTGGGACATAGACCACATGGACAATAGCCCACTTGGACATAGCCCACAGGGACAATAGCTCACAAGGACATAGCCCAAAGGGACAATAGCCCACTTGGACATAGCTCACTGGGACAACAGCCCACTGGGACAATAGCCCACTAGGACATAACCCACAGGGACAATAGCCCACTGGGACATAGCTCACAAGGACATAGCCCACAGGGACAATAGCCCACTTGGACATAGCCCACTAGGACAATAGCCCACTTGGACATAGCCCACTAGGACAATAGCCCACTGGGACAATAGCCCACTTGGACATAGCCCACTGGACATAGACCACATGGACAATAGCCCACTGGGACATAGCCCACAGGGACAATAGCTCACAAGGACATAGCCCACAGGGACAATAGCCCACTTGGACATAGCCCACTAGGACAATAGCCCACTGGGACAATAGCCCACTGGGACAATAGCCCACTATAATCTGATTTGATTTTTTTTTTACTATTGAAATTCTGTAATGTTAATTGTATTTAACCATGAAATTGGTCAAATATCTCATTTCATTATTTAATGCACTCAAGAAAATATTACAACTACATATAAGAACTTCAAAAATTTACAAAATATATGTGTATAAATACAAATGTACATAAATCAATCTAATATTACACCAGAGTTACTCCCTGCCAAATTTAGCAGTTTGCTATTATGTTATGTCTGGTAAGATATTTTCCAGCAAGTATTTGTCCTAGTTGTCTTAGAAGGCTACTATCCCTATGAAACCAGAAGAACATGAAGACCTTAAAAGAAGTTGATACTTATATATGCCTTAAGAAAACTTCAAGTGACATTATGCCCATCCATGTGTACATTGTGAGGGTACTAGTAGAAGTCAAAATAACTTTACATCTTAGCATAATTGTTCCAATTCTATATTCTTCTTCACATGAATAATGATAACCCACTATGATGGAATAACCCACATGACTCATTGATATTTCTATAGATATGCTCCAGTATTTATCAGTAATATTCAAATGAAAAAAGCAGTTTATATTACTGAGTACTGTAAGCAAGTGTCATAGTCAATTATTGGTTTATCACATTAGCTTGACTTGAATTGTCATTTGATATACATGTATGGAGAATACTGAATGAGTGTAAGTTCAATACATGTACTAAATTTATTGAACAAGTTGAATAAAATTATATCATGCGAGCCTCTGGTGAGCAAAATATCATTTTATTTAACTCGTTCAATAAATTCAGCAATGAACCTATTAAGATAATATTCTATTTATCAAATACCCAAAATAAAAACTATTGAACATGAAAAAGAATCACTTTTTTATTGACACGCCTATAGTGTAATGCTAATATTTATGGTTTCTTTTCGCTATGTCTGTATAACGCAAATGATGTCACATCAAAATATATGCATACAGTGACTATTCTAGGATTTGAAAAACAGGGGCCATTTTTATAGAAAAGTGAGAATTTATTACATTTGTTGATTTTTTCCTTCTTTCTATTTGTAAAATTTTCCCCCTGTCACTGAAAAAAAAGGGGAAATTCTCAAAAGTATGAGTGAATCCCCCCATCCCACCTCCTAAAATAGACACTGTGCATGGCTGTGCAATTCCGTTTTTACGAAGTTGCAAAAGCGTGTGTGATAAAACTTTTATGGAGGAAGTTAAATGTCATTATGCAAGCCTCTGGCAAGCTTGATTTCATTTTTCCTGGACGAGTTTCATTTTGATCTCAACAGTACAAGACACATCAAACACCTTGGTTCTGTAAATGAACTAGCACTTACCAATATTTGTGTTTCCATAAATTTTACTTTGATGTCCAACACTTGCGTCACATTGCCATGATGCATCATCACATGAACACTGTGATTGATTGTCTATTGTGAATGTTGATGATGAGGACAGGGGGGACATCAAATTCTCAGCAAATATCTCAACAAGCTGTGTTTCTGTTGAAGCTTTAAATACACTCTCAATCAAAGCTTTCTGACATTCTACAAAAAACAAGAGGTCAAAGTTATAAATAAATTGATAATATCTACCTGCTTGAATGTTGTTGTCAACTATAATATACATAAATTACAGTTTAAACCTGCATCAATGAATTGATAGATCCTTACTCAGACCTTTCATTTGTTTGTTTGTTTGTTTTACGGCCCTTTTTCCAACAGTATTCAGTCATATAGGCGGGTAGTTTTCTAACCATCATTCCTGGAGAGTTACACCAGTACTAGACTAGGCGGGGATTGAACCCACGCCAGAGAGGTAACTGGATTAGAAGTCATCGACTATAACCCCTCAACCACAGAGGCGAATAACACTAAATTTACCCACAAACATTGACATGTGCTCTTTTGTTATCAAATATGTTGTGGTGAAATTCTTATTGCATTTACTAATCTGATAATTAGAACTGGACAGGTCAGGGATCTATGCATAAGAATACAAGAGGGCCATGATGGCCCTGAGGTCGCTCACCTGTATATAGCCCCCCCCCCAACGTTGCAGGGTCAATTTAACCCAAGGGCTTTTATTTGCACAAACTTGGTAGACATCCATAAGAAGATGTTTCATGCTAAAAATCTAAGCTCTTGCTCATTGGGCTTTTTAAAAGAAGATTTTTTTAAAGTTTTTACTATACACATATAGTTAAAAACAATGACACCCCTGGGGCCGGGCCAGTTTTGACCCCAGGGCTTTTATTTGAACAAACTTTGTAGACACTTACTAGAAGATGTTTCATGCTTAATATCTAAACTCTAGCTATTTGGGTTTTTTCAAAGAAGATTTTAAGTTTTTGCTATACACATATAAAAAAAATCAATGACCCCCGAGGCGGGGCCAATTTTGACCCCAGGTCTTTTATTTGAACAAACTTTGTAGACACTCACTAAAAGATGTTTCATGCTTAATATCTTAACTCTAGCTATTTGGGTTTTTTCAAAGAAGATTTTTCAAGTTTTTGCTATACACATATAAGGAAAATCAATGACCCCCGGGGCGGTGCCAATTTTGACCCCAGGACTTTTATTTAAACAAACTTGGTAGACACCTATTAGAACATGTTTGATGCCAAATATCTTAGCCATAGCTCTTTGAGTTCTATAAAAGAAGATTTTTTAAGTTTTTACTATATGCATATAGGGAAAATCAATGACCCCCCGGGGCGGGGCCAATTTTGACCCCAGGGCTTTTATTTGAACAAACTTGGTAGACACCTATTAGAACATGTTTCATGCTAAATATCTTAGCTCTAACTCTTTTGGTTCTTTAAAAGAAGATTTTTTAAGTTTTTACTATATGCATATAGGGAAAATCAATGACCCCCTGGGGCGGGGCCAATTTTGACCCCAGGGCTTTTATTTGAACAAACTTGGTAGACACCCATTAGAACATGTTTCATGCTAAATATCTTAACTCTAGCTCTTTGGGTTCTTTGAAAGAAGATTTTTTAAGTTTTTACTATATGCATATAGGGAAAATCAATGACCCCCCAGGGCGGGCCAATTTTGACCCCAGCTCTTTTATTTGAACAAACTTGGTAGACACCCACTAGAAGATGTTTCATGCCAAATATCTAAGCTCTAGCTCTTATGGTTTTTTAAAAGAAGATATTTAAAGTTTTTTCTTTCGGTTGCCATGGCAACCAGAGTTCCGCATGGAATTAAATTCTTTGAACAATTTTTAAAGGTGATCACCAAAGGAACATTCCTGTGAAGTTTGGATGAAATTGGCTTAGTGGTTTATGAGGAGATGTCATTTAAAGTAAAAGTTTACGGACGGACGGACGACGGACGGACGGACGCCGGACGAAAAGCGATCACAAAAGCTCACCCTGTCACTTTGTGACAGGTGAGCTAATAAAACTGAGAGTGAGCAAATAATGACAATAATTTATATATTAGAATTATATGTTAAAGATCTGAACACTAACTGTTTAACATGTGCTGCAGAATAAATTGCTTTCAAAAACAACTTTCTCAGAAACTTTGTATTTTACCATGCATTTTGTAACACAAATAAGAAAATAAATATATTTTATTTATTGAAGAATACTCTATGAACAAGAGCCATGTCAACATGGCCATCCCCCGCCGAATGTGTTCGCTCATTGGAAGAATGTATATGTTGGTCGCGTTACTGGAAACAAACATTTTTTTAAGGATGGCCTTAAAATAAGTTTTATCAATGTGCTGGGATTAACAAATAACTTTTAATTTTGCATTTTAATGCATTTGGAGCTCCACTGTGACCCAAGTGTCTGTGATCCATTACATGACATCACGGATTTTGATGACATTAAGAAGATACTGGTCGGGGACCATCACCTGGACACTTTTTGAACATTTTTCCGTACAGCTGATTTCATAATTCTAAACTTAGAGACAAAAAAATTTGACAAAGTTCAGCTAGGTTCTTCTCCCAACTAACAAACTAGTTTGTTTATTTCTGATTGTATTGACACTTATAACCGAGGCCTGACATAGAGTGTATCAAAATTACCTTAAATAATTCTCTACACTACAGTGCCATGTGTCTGGACAGATATGTACATGACATGATTTATTCAGATAAAAGCTTGGGTGTTTTTTTATTTTTTATTTTTAACATGATATACAATATTTCAGAAACAAATGCTGAAGTTTTGGATATTCTATTGTTTACTCTGCAAATGATTATAGCTGGTATATGAGGTCAGGCATTGCTTTCTTGACCCCCAAATTTCAACGTCAACATTCTTGAAGAAGACATTAAAATATTACCATTTATGGAGGTTGAAATAAATTTATTTACTTAATTTTAGAAGAAACATGCATTTATTATTGATAAAAAAGTGACTGACAACCACTGTATGAAGAAAATACTAAATTAAGCATTTTTTGGGCCGTCCGGATTTGGTGGTTGTCCAGTTTTGGTGGTTGACCAGTTTTGGTGGTCCCCGACCAGTAAAGTTAGGCCATTGAAATAATGTTTATTTTCATATTTTAAATTGTTCCTTTTGTTTGTCATAGTTTTTACTTAGTCAGGGTGTTCACTAGCCATGAAATCCTGAGGGTCATTTTGACTAAGTTTTACCGACTACAAGGCCAAATTCCCATGATTTTAACAAAATTTGACCCTCAAGTTAAAATCCTGAGGTTCAAATCAGGCCTTTTGGAAATTTGGAGGGTCAAAGAGTCTTTTCAAGGGTCAAGCGGACACCCTGTTAGTGTTGATGTTTTATTTGTCTTTCATTAAATTATTATTTAATTAAAAACGGTAGCTTGAAATTTAAACATTAAATGATAAAATCCCCGAAAATACGGGTCAATGGTGTGAACTGGTATCGGGTACCGTATGGCAATTTTCTGTCAGTGTTTTAAGTACATGTAACTACTGCACATATCTACTGAGTACTGTACTAGTAGTCCCACTAATTAGACTTGTCAAAGAGACGTCTAGATAATTTTGGATGGGCGATGTCTTTGACAGTATGAAAATTTGCAAAATGGGTCAAACTGTAACGGTTCACACCAAATTAATTTGGCTAGATCTACTGTATTGTACTAGAACTACTGTTGCATTACCCGTATTCAACAAATACTCCAGTAATTTCCTCAACAGATCTCTGTCTTCTGGACTACCTGGTGGAGTTTTACTTTTGATGAATTCATTCAATATATTGTATCCTTTCACAAAAATACGCCCAAATGAATGAACTTTATTACTGACAGTTCTGACTGTACATCGTGCACGTGAAAATAGTATTCCCCAACCTTCCCCTGCATCACGTTTTAATCTTTAAGTTTATTAACCCAGCATCATTGCCGCGACAAATTCCTTCAACTGAATCAATAAATTCTTCTTTCCAGCTTGCAACCAAAAAATCATCGATAACAGATGCACGTTTTATCTTTTCTTTTAAATATTTTGCCATTTATTGCATAGAGGCCAATAAACTGATGTTATTTTTACTATGACACCGTTTGAACATTTTTCTCCCTCAATACGTTTCGACCCAGAGACAATTCCCACCTAGACGTTTTATTCTCAATATGCCAGTAACTTGTTATACTTATACGTTTTTAGCTCGACCTTTCTTTTTCGAAGAAAAATAATAGAGGTATTGTTACAGTCATGACCATTGAAGTAAACCTGAAAAATGTTGACCTTCATTTATAAATGATATGTGAACTTCAAGGTCAATGTCTAATTTTTGCTTCATTTTTGTTTATTATTTTTACTATTTTAGTATTTACGTGGGTATAGATTTGTTTCTTTTGAACGGATTGTCTTCAAACTTGAATACAACAATCTTTTAGGATAGACCTTCAAATTAACCGATAGAACTTGACCTTCCCTCATTTATATGGCCTTGACCTTGAAGGTCAAATTATTTACTTTTTTCATTTTTAGTTTAATGTAACTGGCTATAACTTTGTTATTAAATAATGGATTAACTTCATGTTCAGACACATTCTTCAGGAAAAGACCTTCATGTATATCAAACTCAAATTGACCTTTGCTTATAAATGACCTTGATAATGTAGTATGTACGGAATATATACCGTGGGTAACCGTCTATGGTACTGTATGTTTGTATAACGCAAATGACATAACGTCAAAATATATGCACGACCGTGCAAATACCGTTTTTACGGAGTCACATATAAGCGGCACGGGTATTGTGATTTAAAAAATTAGGTTATGTTTTATTTCAATTAAGAAATTAAATGTATGTTGAACTATATTTGGATGGGAAATGATACTAGACAAAGCTTGGCGCTTGTCCATTTAATTTCCCTTATTCACGGAACAATGTGAAATATATCAAAATTGTATTTAATAAACCCAAAGATTTGATCAGACATCTCTGCAAAGGAAGTTTTCATTTGGATACATTTCTTGTAAATGGTTTTTATAGACATAGGACATTGTTCTGTACTAGTCGCAATTTTTTAATTGAACCACGTGAACATCGTGAAGTCCGTCTCTATGTTAGCAATCCGAGGGGTATAAGGATATTAAGTATTATATACGGATAAAACTGCTAAATATCTTTAATTGTCATGACGATATTTTAATGAAAACAAAACAAAATCTCATTTTTGAGAAAATTTCAAAATATTTTTTAGCTTTATATAGACTAAAAAATTAACAGTGCATTCCATCAGCAGACGACGATGCGGATTGCAGCTGCTTACAGTTCGAACAACACAAGTGAGATGGCCATCTGACACTTGATTCTTTCCATGTGACACTCCGTCATCTTTCTGAATACAACACATACAAAGTAGCTTCCAAATATTAGCGTTCGATAAGTTTGGGCTTTTCTTTTATGTTAAGTCAAGTTTGATTAAAGTCGCCCAATACCTTCAATATGAGATGTTGTATGTCCGTGTCCATGAAGACATCGGATAATGGTTGTGTTTGTGGTACTTTAAGTTATTTTTCTTTCTTTTTCTTTCTAAATGGGTGATTCTACCTAGTATTCCTTACTTGAATACTGTATGTATAATCGCCCTAAGAATATGATGCAAGCCGGCCATTTTAAAGACGAATTTGGGTAAGAATCATAATTAAACAATATATAATATTGTAATGACATAATAAATAAATTGCCATGTAAACTGTACTTGTATAAGAAATGACTTAATTTATATTTAATTTTTACTGCTTGCATATTGTCGGATAGCAATTGATTATATACACGTGCAACTAGTGTCGTCTGATCGTCGTCTGCACTTTTCGCTATTCCTTCAGTGGCATGGTTCTAATGAAATGGTGGATGGGAGATAACCCCTATAACAATTTGCTTAGTGCGTACACTGGTCATGTTATCCTGAGATTTGCTTAGGTTAACTGTTTTCTATCAAATTTTACAATACTGATATACATGATTTTGTAATGCTATATATTTTATACTTATAAATGAAATATTAAGAAATATTGATGAAATAAAATGCGTATTTTCATTTTCTGTATTTTCACTGTAAAAATTTATTTTTCACTGCAGTGAAACATATTTTCCGTATTTTCACTGGTGTCTTGCCGGACTACATTCTTTTAAATTCTGCAAGTACATATAATTTAAGGGAAAGTCTTTCAAATTTTATCGCAAAAAAGAGAAAAATGTATATAATAAACAGAAAATTCAAGTTCTTTTCTATAAATACATGATTTATTTTCATCTTGTGGCATGGAAATTACCATATTTCACTCGTGGCTACCGCCACTCTTGAAATATTTATTTTCATACCACTCGATGAAAATAAATCATGTATTTATAGAAAAAACTTGAATATCCTCTATATATTTTTCAGTTTAAACTAATTTAGCTTTTTTTGGGGTTTTATTTTGTAAACATTATGTTTGTTTGGACAGGTACGTATATTACCTGGTTTGGATTACGTAAAAGTATGCTATAAACATGTTAAAATTATGAAAACAAAATATCCGAACCTTCTCAGCAAATTAACTCCAGAACTGCGTATTCAAGATATAGAGGATATTGAATGATGTAGGTTCAATACTGAATTTATTGAACTGAATGAATAAAGGCCAGAGGCTCGCATACTATTATTTTATTCAACGAGTACAATAATTTTAGTAATGAAGATACACTAATATAATATTCTATTCATCACATATCCAAAATAAAACTGTTGACAGTAAAATGAATCAAATTTTCATTGATAACGCTAACATTCAGTGCGTCTTTACGCTATGTTTGTATGTGACGTCACGTCGGATTATATGCGCGGCCGTGCAATACCATATTTACGGATTCGCAAAGGCGGCACGGGTATTGTGATTTAAAAAAGTATGTTATGTTATATTTTATGTAACATTATGTTGTGTTTCGTTTTGTTAAAAACATAAGACTTACACTATAAATGTTCATCAAATGTCTGTCTACACGCAGGAATATATTCGTTACTTAGTTTGTAAATAAATAAAGCAAAACGTCATCAAAGTTAAAAACTAATCTTTAAACTGAACATCGCTCTACATAGAATCATGTATTGATCTTTTTTCTCTAATTTAACAATAGTATCAACTTGTCAAATAATAACCTGTATAGAGATAGATAAAGCAGTAAGGAACTTTGTTCATAAAATCTTATATTTTGTCAACAACATTGGACAAAATATAATTACATTGCTAAAGGGCTGAAAATAGTACAAATATATGGTGGCTGATTTGTGTCATTCGTGTTTTCGCCCCGCAACCCACTAAGCGAAAATGTCGAGAATTCATGAGTCAATAATTATGGTATGTGACACATATAAAAACATGACATATATTAAAAGTAACACAGAGATAATTTATCCTGTTATCTTTATTAAGAAATATATATTATAATATTAACAGTAGTTTCTATAACTAGGTTTGAAAATGATGTCGAACACCAATATACAATGTATACCAATTAAATGAGCCGTGTCATGACAAAACCAACATAGTGCGTTTGCGACTAGCATGGATCCAGACCAGCCTGCGCATCCGGGCAGTCTGATCATGCTGGTCGCAAACCCAATATGTTGGTTTTGTCATGACACAGCTCAAATAATATTGTGCATCAATAACTAATGTACTTCAACTAAATCTGATCTCCAATATAAAACATACATCTATATGAAATGTACATCAACATGAAATGTACATAATATACTATGTACATCAATACACAATGCACATCAACATAAATTGTATACCATGTACATTAAATCAAAATTGTACCCCAATTTACAATGTAATATACTAATTAAATCATTGTATCGCTTGGTTAATGTGTGTACCCTGGTAACACATGGTTAATGTGTGCATTGACATTTATATTGAATATTACCTGTAATTGAAAATGTACATTAATTTATAATGAACACAAATATACAATGTACACCAACATTAAATCTGCATCAACATACTTGTACACAAATGAACAATGTACATCAGTATATGATGAACAATAATTAAAATGCTCATCAATTTAACTTCATACCTTTAAATAAAGTACATTAATTAAAGATGTACATCAATTTAAAATGCTTAATGTACAATTCACATCATTTTACAAATAAATCTGTACTATATCCTGCATTCCAAAAATACAAGGTACCAATAAAAATGAGTTACCTGGCCAGTAATGATTAAACTTTTGAAGCAAACTTGGTACAAAATATAAACATGCCATGTATTTGCAAAAAAGAATGACAATTTCACACCAGTCATTTAATTCACAGACACTTGGAGTTAAACCTTATCACCCAAAAACCTGACCCTCTGCAGTTAAAGGTGAATAAAAATATTTTAACATTACAGTCTTTGTTATTACAAACTGGGTCTGTTTCAATCATTTATATTGTTTTTAAAACATTTCCAAAAGAAAAAAGTAAACTCCATGTACAGTTAAGTCACAAAAAAGTATTTTTTGTTGAATTTTTTTTTTTTTACTGTTTATAGGGGCCGTTCATGCCAGGGGATAGGGCCTGACAGTCCCAAGTGTCTGTGATTAAAGATAAACTAACCAAAACAACTGAGTATTTACACTGCCTGACTGGCATTTGTCAGAGGAAAATTATCTTATAATACAAAAGTCATTGATAATAAAAACAAAATAATAATTAACAAACTGAATATAAATTACATACATGATGTGTATTTTCATACTATTCTCCATCCACATCAGAAGAATTGAGGAAATCAGTAAACAATGACTGAAATCTATGCTTATGATATATCAGTATATAATGTAGACTTTAAATGAATGAAGTTTTGGAAGCTCTCAATAAGTAGAGGTTAAACATTGTTGTTCATGTTTACCGGGTATATAACTTCGTAATATGACAAGTTTAATGTGATGGTTATCATGTCAATGCCCTCAGCTTTATATCACACACATTTAAGTAATTAGTATTCAAATTACTATTGTTACCGTCACATTATCAAAAGTATTGAAACAATGTTACTATATCTGAAAGCATGTCGAGCTCAAAGTCATGTAAAATATAAAGTGTCATGGCAAGTAAAAAATGTCATGGCAATGTGCAAAAATTTGTATATATAGTACCAGTAGCGATAAAAATAAATCATGGAAACGAACAACATTACTTTGATCAATAATATTTCACATATCTATCACCTTAAGTCAACATCAACTCTCATTTTACTTCATCTAATTGTCTCAATTAGTGCTGAACTGCAATTAATAATGATAATTAATAAATTTAATATTACAGAACAGAACAGAACAGTGGTTGTAAAAAGTAAATCAGTATAAAAGGCTGTGGGTTGTTCTTTGAGTAAATAGTACAGTGAAAAAAATCAGCACAACAATATCAGCTGTGTAAAATGGCAAGTTAAGATATAGTTCTATAATGGTAAGTATTATATAATGATCTAAAACATGAGATAAACAAATATTACAAGATGTAGGGAAGTTGATCATGTCAATGTGTTCAATGTTTAACATCATCATTACACAAAGTATACCACAATGTTAGTGGTATGTATCATCAGTTCACATCGTTTCTCACTAGAAATTCATAAAATGTGGTAAGTTTGAAATGTTATATTTTCATTGTACATGATGTAGATGTGATTCATAATTTCAATTTCTAGTAATAAGTTTAACTGGTAAACAATGTCACATAAATAGCGTGTACAGAAGATTGTAAAATATTAGTAAAGATTTTTAATTACTGTCTTCCCTATTTCAAATTTAAACAGGCTATGAATGGATAAAAAAGCTACCATAAAAATATTCCAGTTAAGTCGAAAGTAAGCAAAATGAAACATGATATTTTACACATAATTTATTATCATGTAAAAACATTAATCTTTAAGTATAGAATAACACATATGTCACAGAGTCATTACATTGAAAGGAACATTGATAAAATGTAAAAAAAAAAAATTAAATAAAAAAAATAAAGGAAAAACAAATGAAAAAATAATGTCATGTAAAGATATTTACTTTGTTAAATGGCATATCGGTAACATAATTCTTTACAAGCCCATATATCTCTAACTGCTAGGCAAGGTTATATGGAGATATAACCTGTCAAATGTTTTTAATACAAGTTTATAAAACTACTCAATTGCTTTTATTCCACTATAATAACATTATACCTTACATAAACAAATTCATTTCATTTAAGTGTCAGCAAACCTTTGAATAACATAATATTCACAATGATGTCAGTGGTCCAGCAAGAATGTATAATGACCGCCTAATGCAACTAGTTTGAAATCATCAAATCAATGTTACGTTTGAACAATATTATAATTAATGCTATAACTATGTGTAAGTAAAGAAACATATATTTCTGCAATACTTCCATGTGAAGCAAGACAGAAGTGAAATTTCTCAAAAGTTTTGTTTTTATTTACAATATTATACATGTATTACCATACATTTTATTACTTGAACAATAAAAATAACAAAGTCTATAACAACTGATGTTATCAATTATAAAAATATTAAAAAGAAATATAAATGCTGCTATCTTGTATGATATTTAATAGAATATATCCTGGACATATCTACATGTAAATATTGAGAGATTTTTCTTTCCTCCAATGATTCAGTAGTGAACTAAGAAATATGATGACTGACAATGATCTGAAGCTGCTACAAATTAAATCTTTTTAAAATCTCAATATGACTCATCTTCTACATGATTTCCATGTAATCAGAAAATTTAAATCACTAAATGCAACGTGGAACAATACAGATATGTTATTGAATAGCATATAACATTGTTTACAGTATTTTATTAATCTCATAAACAATACTCTGGAAAAAAAGTCTATCTCTGGTATACTCTTAATATATATAACAGACGAAAGGCATCTAGTTTTTCTTCTTCATTCATAAGATTTGTCATCTTTCATTTGAAATTAATAAAGGTATTTATCATTACATGTGTTATGTCATACAGTATGAAGGTTTAGTCATCACACTAGAAACAAACATTTTTCTGACAGCCCTATAACAAATGTGTCTACCACTGACTAGACTAGAATACACTGACCTCCATGATTGCACCAAAGACTACATCAGATAATATCTCTGATGTTTTTGATTTTATAACATGAGTAACGAAGTAAGAATTAACTATCAAATCATCACATTCCTGCAGGATATTCAATACCCTTGCACCATTAGGCTAGACTACAGAATAAAGTTCACCCATAGAAACCATCATATATAAAACATCCTTTATCAAATCGTAAATCCATTATTAACTAATAGAAAATACTACTCATCAATTAAACAATCATTAACATGACAGACAAGATTCTTTTTGCAAATAGCTTTCCAGGTCATATTATATAAAGACAGTTACCAGCCTTATAAAGGTGACCAGCCTTATAAAGGTGATCAGATTTATAAAGGTGACCAGACTTATAAAGGTGACCAGATTTATAAAGGTGACCAGACTTATAAAGGTGATCAGTCTTATAAAGGTGACCAGCCTTATAAAGGTGACCAGACTTATAAAGGTGACCAGATTTATATAGGTGACCAGCCTAATAAAGGTGAGCAGACTTATAAAGGTGACCAGCCTTATAAAGGTGATCAGACTTATAAAGAAGGTGTCCAAACTTATAAAGGTGACCAGCCTAATATAGGTGACCAGCCTAATAAAGGTGAGCAGACTTATAAAGGTGACCAGACTTATAACGGTGATCAGACTTATAAAGAAGGTGTCCAAACTTATAAAGGTGACCAGACTTATAAAGGTGACCAGACTTATAAAGAAGGTGTCCAGACTTATAAAGAAAGTGACAAGCCTTATAAAGAAGTTGTACAGGCTGACAGAATAACATATACAATCTGTTAATGGGTGTGATCACCCACATATATCAATAAAACAGCACAAATCTACCTCAACCAATATTGTGTCATTAAACTTACAAAAAAATAAACATTGACAACTTTATGTACATATAAAAATGCTTATCATACTGGGTATGTCTGATATAAAAGATACTTTTATTTACAATAATTTCACAAATTGTTACATTTGCACAAAATAAATGCATTTAACCACTTATAAACTAAGATATAACAGACATAACTTAAGTCTTATTGCATTATACATATATTTCTACTAGCCCAAATTTCAAGCCTGATAAAATTTAAGCCCCCTGACAATAGGAGATTATTTAAGACCCCTGACAATAGTAAGGTTGTTATTTAAGCCCTCTGACAATAGCTAGATGTTTATTAAAGCCCTCTGAAAATTGTGAGGTGGTTATTTAAGCCCTCTGACAAGAGCCAGTAGGTTATTTAAGCCCTCTGACAATAGCAAGGTGGTTATTTAAGTCCTCTGACAAGAGTTAGGAGGTTATTTAAGCCCTCTGACAAGAGCCAGGAGGTTATTTAAGCCCTCTGACAATAGCAATGTGGTTATTTAATCCCTCTGACAAGAGCCAGTAGGTTATTTAAGCCTCTGACAAGAGCAAGGTGGTTATTAAAGCCCTCTGACAAGAGTTAGGAGGTTATTTAAGCCCTTTGACAAGAGCCAGTAGGTTATTTAAGCCCTCTGACAAGAGCAAGGTGGTTATTTAAGCCTTCTGACAAGAGCCAGGAGGTTATTTAAGCCCTCTGACAAGAGCAAGGTGGTTATTTAAGCCCTCTGACAAGAGCTAGGAGGTTATTTAAGCCCTTTGACAAGAGCAAGGTTGTTATTTAAGCCCTCTGACAAGATCAAGGTTATTATTTAAGCACTCTGACAAGAGCCAAGAGGTTATTTAAGCCCTCTGACAAGAGCCAGGTGGTTTAAGCCCTCTGACAGAGTTGTGTGGTTATTTAAGCCCCCTGACGAAAGTTAGATGGGAAAATAAACCCTCAGACAAGTGATGAAATAGTTCTTTGACAAGTGTTATTGTATCAAATAAACCCTGTGACAAGTTAATTGATCACATAAGCCTTTAACAACTGAGGTGATCAAATAAACCTCTGCAAAGAGTCACCTGATTAAATAAGCCCTATATTAAAAGAAAGTGATTGAATTAGCCATCCGGCAACAGATCTTGAATGATACTGTTTCAAAAGTTTTCATGTAATTATAATAACTGGTAATCAAATGAACCATACACCAATTTAATGTAAAACATACCATAAGTAGACTTTTAAGTAAATAGAAGAGCATTAGTATAATTATCATCATATAGTAAAATAATTAGTGATACACAACAATATAACAGGAACATATTAACCTAACATTTCACCTTGTTATTTAACTCTCTTAAATATTCTAACACAATTCCAATTTTTTTCCCAATTGAACCTAGAAGAACTGAAAGTGTGTGTAAATATGCAATAAAATCACTGTTGACAATCTTTATTTAGACTTGTGATAATAACCATTAAAAATTTGACATGCTGAAGAAAAGAGTTTAAAATTAATTTGTTGATGTTATGTTAGAATCAAACAATATATCCCAAGCAGTTATTTTATAGCCCTTGTGATATAATTCCTCGCATTTGAACTCAAAACTGTGATTTATTTAGTGATATCTACATGTACTAGTATTTACCTTCGTTTACTTTTGAATAATAATTTACCTGTGAAACTATATGATACAGCCCAAGTTAAAACATAAAAAACAAAAGCTTGTATATTGTATGTCTTATACTAGTAAACAGGTACACTTGTAGTACACTGTATATTCAATATCACTATGACTTGACTATCTGGAAGCATTTTCATTAATCCAACACTACTAGTCAGTGTCAGGAAATCTACTATAATATGTCAGTGACCTGTGGTCACTTAACTGAAGATGAACATTATAATATCTATTTGATAATACTGGTTTTTGAGACCAAAAAAAGAAAAAAGAAAATAAAAACAAACGGTTCCTAACTCTATCTTACCTATACAGTGGCAATAAACAAAGTTATCATCAAATCAAAACTATATTGTATTAGAAGAGACTAGACAATTATGTCAAAAACTACAGCTTAAATTGAACTTAAAGTTAAATAATAATGGAAAAATGGATATGAGAAAAATCGTGATTAACATTACACTTTTCAAAAGCAATCTTCCATTTCAGATTTCATACTAGAATACACCTCAGTTTATAAAGACAATGTTGGTATGTAAATGAATTAATCTGAAGGTATTTTATATTTATTACATTACAATATAGGATGGTTCTTGGACATTAAGTTACTATTATGGTCCCATTACGTACCTATCACAGATTGACCAATTTTATTTATATAATGTATTTAAACTGATTATAATGAAATCAGCAATCTTTGATTCTGCTCTAAGTAATTCATTATCCGGATCACAAAAAAAAAATCCTTAAGATTTCTTAAATCTTCTTCACTTTGTGTTTACAAAACCGCATTAACAAACAAAATGCAATTTTTTTTCTCTAGATCCTGCATGGCACTTTAGCAATTGGCACATATCTTTTTATTTGAATCTATCTTTATACAAAATTATTAAATTTACCAGATTTCACAATCATTATACAGAAGATAATACTAGATAATGAACAGCACCTAGATTGCCAATATTTCTATTTTCAAGAATTAACTAAAACATTCTGCATGCAAAATAAAAATAAGGTATTATGTAAGAAACGAGAATCCAGTCAAATTAGAGGAATTATCTTGTACACTGCTATATATGTAAGTATGATCTGTCATGCATTCAGACTTAAACCACTGACTTTAATGACTAGCATTGTAAAACAAAAACATTCAAAACACAACCATAGTATGCTGATACAATAAAGTCTTATAACTTTCAAAATTAAATATACATAAAAAAAAAACTTAAAATAAAAAGTACCCCATTAATGAACATTTCCTTGTAAATGAAAAATACAAATTACAAAACAGTCATGACTTATATCTATATTTAATGTATTTTTGTCAAATCTGCTACATAACCAGCAGTCAACACTTCATTAAAGTTATATAACTCACAGTCAATAGCTCATTAAAGTTATATAGCTCACAGAGTCATGGGCACATTAAAGTTATATAAATCATATTCATGAGGTCATTAAAGTCATATAACTCACAATCATGAGCTAACTAGAGTTATATAACTTTAATGAGCTTATGAATGTGAGCTATATGAGTATTCTTTAAAAGGAGATAAAGTTTTCCTTAATTAAATGCATATATGAGTAGGAATATCAATCACAGATTCATATAAAACAACATATGCTCTTATTCCCTCTTCATTTCAAATACTTATACATGTAACTTTATCCATTACAGCAAAAATCAGAAATTCTTCAGATGAAATATATAGAAACATATGACAGTTTCCCACATAAAAATAAAATTTGAAATTTTCCTTGGCTCCCAAATAGTACAAATCCTGAATTTATCTTGATGAACATATGTAAATGAGCCGTGTCATGACAAAACCAACATAATGGGTTTGCGACCAGCATGGATCCAGACCAGCCTGCGCATCCGCCCAGTCTTATCAGGATCCATGCTGTTCGCTATCAGTTTCTCTACTTGTAATTGGGTTTGTAAGCGAACAGCATGGATCCTGATCAGACTGCACGGATGCGCAGGCTGGTCTGGATCCATGCTGGTTGCAAACCCACTATGTTGGTTTTTTCATGACACGGCCCATTATGTAAATATATTTACACATGGACTATCTGTGACTACGTCTGAATCGATCACGCTGATCTTGTATCTGTCCATCCATCAATCTTCCGAGACAGATTCCCAGTAACTGTGGTATTCCCAGACCCAGAACAATGCCACCTATGATAGGGAGGTTAGACTCCCCTAGATTTATAAGAGCATCCACACAGCCTAACGTGTAAATCTTCGATGTTGCTGTAAAAACCTGTAAAGGTACAATCATTTTTATTAAATTACCATCAACTACCATCAACTACTATGCAAATAATCAATTCCATGATTTAATCGGAATAAAAATTAGTTTATAGAATGATCAGTAATGGATGCTACCCTAGTCTGCACTTTTGACTTTGTATTTCAATGTCAATAAATATAGGCTGTAAGTATGAAAGTGTAAAAATCATTTTAAACCCTACTGACCTTGACACTTGTGATTCCTTAACAAAAGTTACAGAATCATTAAAATGTATGTAGCTAATAAATATAAAAGAAATCAGGCAAACAAAAAAGGCTGTGTGAGAAAAAAGTACAAGTCTATTTTCACCAAATTTGACCAAGTGA